CAGCCCGGCATACCCCACCCCTGCGCCGGGGCTCACACCGTGTTTCGGGAAGAACAGGAAATCTGGGCACTTCCCGCGATGCCCAAAGCCACCGGTGATTCCCAGCCCAGCGAAGCCCCGTGCTGCCAGTGGAGCCCAGAGGAGGGTTTTGCTGGGCTGCATCTGCCCCGGTGCCCCCCAACAGCGCAACCCCCATGAGCTGGGGCAGCAGCGATCCCCATGGGAGCCAAGCGTTGGGGGGGAACGGAGCAGAGCAGCAGCGCTGTAACCCCTTCCCTCCCCACAGCAGCACCCCCGCGGCGGCAGAGCTCACCCAGCAGCAGCAGGAGCGTGAGCACCTTCAGCCCCGACATCTCTGGGCCGTGGCGACGGTGAAACAGAGCTGGGAGAGGCACGGGACCGGTGGGGGAGGCCATGCTGGGAGCCCAGGGCTGGAATCTGCTCCCCTGGACTTCAGCCCCACTGTTATCTGCTTCCCAGCCCCGCAGCAGGGTTTATGGCCAGGCTGGGACAGGTCACCCGTGGTCCTGCTGCCCGGCACCCACAGCATCACAGATGGTGAAAGGGCAGCTCTGCATCCAGCCCTAGGAGACCTTATTGAACCATTCTGCTTTAGCCCCCTTCTTCCAACCAGGACAAGATGCTGGGTACTGCTCTGATCAGGATGGGGTTGGCTGGCACACACTGGCTCAGAGAAGGAAAAGGCCACTTCTTCCCACCAAGTCACTGATGCTGCCGGCTCTGAGGGAGAAGCTGGCACCTCTGCCAGGGGCCCTGGGGCCATGATGTGCCAGCTGCTGGGCTGTGTCCCGTTCATCCACAGGGAAGAAAAACATGATAGTGTCTGAGCATAAGGAGCAGAGGGAGAACCTCTGGGTGAAAGGCATGGGGTGGTCAGGGATGACAGTTGTGCTAAAGGGTGGGGGGAATGGAGTGCAAGGAGCAACCCCAAGGCAGGAAAGGTATAAAGGAGCCATGATGCAGCCAGGCAATGGTGAGCCGCAGCAGGCAGGGATACTCAGGACTGGACGGAGTTAGCCTTAAAACTGTTGGAGCTTTGAATTCAGAACAGAACTCAGGGTCTGAAGGTTGGTGACAGGCTGGGAGGGAAGGCAGGGACGAGCAGGACACATCCCATGGTGTTCCACAGCCTGACCCAGCACCCAGCTGAGATGCCTTAGCGCACTCCAGCCCCACCGATGGCAGGCAGGAGTGGGGGGAGCTCAGCCTGCCTGCTCCAGACAGAGCAGCCTGGCAGCCCCCTCCAGGGCAGTGCCCCTTCCCCAGGCTCTCAGCAGCATCATTCCAGCCATTGCCCCCGCAGAGCCTCCTGCCACTGCTGCTGCAGCCCCTGTGCCTGAGGCTGGGCCCCTGCAGCTGGAGCTGTGCGTGGAGGCTTCTCCCCTCCTGTGGACGGCCTTGGACAGCAGATTGCAGGTGATTGCATCACATGCAGTAAAGCACAGGGTTCACTCCTTCCCTCAGTGTGAACAGGGTCGGTACCTGCACCCTCCGAGCCCCGTGTCTCGGTGCTGGCAGTGCCTGCAGGCAGGAGCCCTGCCCTTCCCCAGCTGCCCGGAGCCCTCATGGGTACTAAGCTGACCTTAAGCAGAGCAGCCACCGGCTCCTGGAGCATCTCCAGCAGGTCTGATCCCTCCCTCCTGCACTGAGGAGACACAAGGGGATGTTGTGGACCCCCAGGACAGAGACTGGGCAGATACTGGGCTCCATTGGACTGGAGCGGACTTTGATGACAGCAAAGGGACTGAGCTTCCCATGAGGTCAGGTTGAGAGAGCTGAAGCTGCTCAAAGTGGAGAAGGCACAGGAATGTCACCCTTGTGTATAAAGACCTGACAGGAGGGTGCAGAGAGGAGCTGGCTCTGATGGGGTAAAGGATGGACTGGACATCAGAGTTGTCTCCGTGCAACCAGTGCAGGGCACTCAGCCCCCAGCTAACAGCCACCAGTGTTGAGTGCACTCATGACTGCTGTGTCACATTCACCCCAGCATGGAGATGATGGTCAATACCTTGCAGGAGGTCAAATCTAGGCACAGCAGAGCTGTTTTAGAGCAGGCCAGCTTGCAAGGCTGGTGGGCACCATCCTTCACAGGAGACCAAGCTCCATCCCTAAGCCACCAGTGGGGAAGTGGGTCCCACACCCCAGCCTGGCCCATGAGGCTCACCCCTATCCCTCATGATCTCCTTTTGAGTTTGGGGTAGGACACTGGGCACTGGGGCTGAGTGTCAGCAAGGTGTGCTGATCCTGCATGGCTTCAGGCACAGAGGAACCACCTCCTGTCCAAGTACCCCACATCCCTGATGGCAAGAGGGGAAGACAGGGAGGCAGCAGCAGGTAGAGCAGCCAGGCAGGAGCCGGGAGCACAAAGGATCATAGTCTGACAAGTGACAGGGGTTGGGACCACAGGGTTAAGGTTCCTCCAGTTCCAACCTTGTATGGGATGGTGATCAAGTGATCCACCTGGCAGCCTGACCAGCACATCTCCCTCGACCTCTCCTGGCACTAAAGGCTCCAGCAGCTTTTCCCAGTCCCCCCACCCTTCTCACTGGGAGTACAAGCAGTCTCTCTGGGCAACATTGAGGGACAGGAGCTAATCCTGGCTGTCCAGAGGGCTGCAGTCAAGGAAGATGCTCTACCTCAAGGTGTGACCACCTGATGGGGTGGGAATGAGCATGGTCTCCCAACCACGCTCCCTCCCAACAGGGGAAGAGGGTGGTAACCTTGCCCTTCCTTCCATCAGGCACTGGGGATCCGCTGCCTCCTCCTCCCCCTTCCCAAGGCTAATCCTAACATCCCCTCAGCTGTCCCCACCCCAGACCCTGATAGCACCAGGGTCACCCCCCCCTCAGTGGCTGGAAATCTGGAAAGTCACTCCTGTTTTAAGGGGCTACATCCCAGACCAGGAAAAGGAGCAGACCAAGCCATGGGCGCTGCGCTGCCCAGTGTGTTTAATTCTCACATACACATGTGGGACAAACCCCATCACCACCGGGGACGTCGGGGCAGGGCACCCACTGGCTTCACCGAAGCTCTGCCGTGCTGGGGAGGTGGGAGCACCCGCTGGCACGTGGGAAGTCTGGTGACAGTGGAGAACAGGCGAGTTCAATGGAAAGGAAAACCAGGAGAGCTCAGAACACCAGGAACCTGCTGCCACCACCCCAACACCGGGTCTGGCTGCACCAGCTCCAGGCTGGTGCCGCTGCTGCAGCCTGGGCACAGGAGTCAGTAGCCTTCATCTGCCCAGGTGATCTCGTAGTCTGGGTACTCGGCCTTCAGCTTCTCCGTGGTCACGGAGTGGTCGGCTCGCCCGAAGCCCTGGCAGAGGAGAGAGGGGCCCCAAGTAGTGCCGGTACCACCACCCACAGGGGCGCTCACGGCAACCAGAAGCTCCGGCAGCAGCCCCACACGCCGCGGAGCCCGTGAACCACCGGGGGGGGGCTCCGACCCCTCTGCAGCAGCGGTTCAGGCCACGGACAGCTCAGCGCGGCCCCGGCTGCCGGACAGCGGGTGGTGCCACCTTGGAGCTGGGAAAACAGGCACCGGCATCACCGACACCCTCCCCGCTGCCATGGAGACGCGAAGGGCGCATCCCCGAGCGGGAACCCGCGCGGCATCGCGAGGAAGCGGCCGCGCCCAAGGGGATGTGATACCTGTCCCCCCCCTCGCCCCCCGGCCCCCGCTTACCACCGAGTATCCGTACACGTGGATCTTCCTCTCCTGGGGGCGGTGGGCGAGCCGGCCGCCCCCCAGGCACTCGCATTCCAGGCCCTGCCGCGCCAGCTCCGCCGCCGTCCGCTCGTAGATGTCGGCTGCGGGGAGAGGGACCGGTGGTGCCGGGCACACGCCGGAAGGGGGGGGGGCAGACACCGCCCGAGCCCCAGGAGGAGCCGCGGCGCGGGGCAGCCCCGGTACCGCAGGTCCGCGCGCCCCTCACCGTGGTACTCGGCCCAGCCGTGCCCGCGCACGACGTCCTTCCCGGGCGCGCCGGGCGCGCGCACGCGCACCAGCACGTACTTGAACACGCCGTCACCGTCGATCTCCACATCCCGGACCCCCGAGAGCGCCGCCGCCATCGCGCCCGCCCCGCATTCCCCCCCCGTCCCGCCCCTTCCGTCGCTGCTGCCAACCAGCGCCCGGCACCGCCCACTGGTACCCGCCCACCGGCGGGGCGGGGCTTGCCCTGCGGTACCGGGGCGGTACCGGGGAGATTCTCCCGTGGCCTCGCCCGTGCTGCGGGGGGGCCAGGCCGGGAGCTGGCCCGTGGCACCCGTACCGGCAGCGCGGCCGCTTCTGGGCAGGGCCATGGGGCAGCCCCGGGTGAGCGGTGAAGAGCCGGGCCGTGCCTTCGACCGGCTCTGCCCTCCGCCGGTGCCCCGACACCTCCCTGCGGCAGCCCCAAGGCTCTCGGCCGCAGTCAGACCCCTCCCGCCGCGGCAGCCCCATGCGGAGCCTTCACCTGCCCGGCTCCACACGCAGCCGTGGGTACAGCCCGGACTCGCCGCAGCCCCTGCCCTGCCTTAGGGGTTCCCGGGGCATCCGCGGGTGCGTTACAGCTCCCACGCGGGGTCCCCGCTGTACCCGACGATCGTGCTCAGGACACAGACTCGAGGGAGCAGGGACCTTGTGGCACTCGCTCCGACCGCAGACCGGCACCAGTGCATCCCTGCAGGGCTGCCAGCAGCACCCCAGGCTCTGCACGGCCCCAGAACGGCTGCGGTGGGGCCCGGGGCGCTGTGCAGGGCGCTGGGTGCAGGCAGGCACAGGGGGCTCTGCGTGTGCAGGCAGCCAGGCTGGCCAGTGGGCAGAGGCTGGCGATGCTTGGGGTGCCCTCTCTCTGAGCAAGCATCACTCACCCCGAGAGAGCTCTGTGGGGTCGTGCCAAGGGGCTGGCTGGGACCTGTGCCCCATGGCAAACCCTGGCCAATGCTCCTGTGCCCTACAGCCCCCCCCAGCCAATGCCGGCTGCCCGCAGCCTGTCACAGCCTCCTCCTCCCCTCCCTGCCACATCTGAGAGAGGGTTCCTGTCCCACTGTGCTGACAGGACAACACCTATCTACAAAGGGGGTGAGCCGGGGGGGGGGTGTGAGCTGGAGGGGTCCCCACCCCATGTTTACATGATGTCATCCAGGAGGTTGGGGCTGGCCACCCAGTCGAGTGTGCGAGGCTCAGAGGCTGCCATGATCATGCACATGAACTGTTTGCCTGTCCTCTTGTCGATGGGGTAGATGGTGGTGGGGGTGAAGCGCTTGTTGCTCTCCACGAAGTCGCAGAGCTGCTCGTAGACAGCGGGGAACTCGTGGCGCAGGAAGACGCCGCGGATGCGCAGCTCCCGCTGGATGTTGATGAAGCAGACCTCCCGTGCCTTGCGGCCCTCCTCGCCCTCCTTGTCGATATCTGCCGTGCCAGGGGGCGGCGTCAGGATCAACGTCTCCATGTCCCGCTCCTTCTTCAGGATCTTCTTCTCTGGGCTGGAGGAGGCTAAGGCCACCTTGGCGTATTTCCTGACCGTCGGCACCTGCATCTTTGGCGATGGCTTGTCCGGCACTTTTTGGGTGACGGCCACAGTTACATTCAGGAGGAAACATTCATCGGGGTCGTACTGGTTGCCCGTCTCCCGCAGCTCCCGGGCATACTCCCCCAGGTTGTCCGAGTAGCTATCCAGCTCCCGCAGGGACAGGTAGGTGGGGGACATGAGCAGACTCTCCAGCCCGAACTGGAGGAAGTTCTCCGCCGAGCCAGCATTGGGGAAGCCCAGGAAGAGGACACCGCGGCCACGGGAGAGGTAACCCACCTTGGCAATGCGTGAGAAGGCCTTGTGCACCTCAGTGTTCTCACGGCAGAACTGCAGGACGTGGCGGCAGACGCTGCCCACCCGCCCATAGACGCAGCTCTCCTTGTGCGTGTCCCAGTCCTCGCGGCGGCAGTGCCGGGAGCAGTAGTAGGTGTAGCAGCTGTGGCACGACTTGAAATAGAGGCAGGCGTTGAACATGGTCTCTGTCCGGCGGCACTTGGCGTTGGAGCACATCATCATGTCATCCTCCTCTGCGCTCAGGTCAGGCGAGCAGTTGTCCGGGGACTTCTCGAAGGTGCCGGCAGGCACTGGGGCAGGCGAGGGGCGTGGGGCGCTGGTGCGGGAGCTGGGGCCCGGCTGCTCCTTCGTGGGCCGGGGTGCCTCGGATGTGCCAGGAGGACCCCTCCTGCCCTCGCCTCGCCGCGGGGGCCCTGTGGCACTGGTGCCCAGGAGCTGTTTGAGCTGCTCGGCGAGGCTGTCCCTGTCCCCAGCGCGGTGGCCTGATGTCGGCTTGTAGTCGATGACAAGGTCGGTGATGAGCTCGTCCAGCTGCTCCAGGCTGCGCTGGCGCCCAGAGCTACTCTCCCTGGTGACGGGCTGCTGGGCACTGGGCACAGCGTAGGGCCCGTGCTCCCGCCCGCCGTCCAGCATGTCCCAACTAGCCGAGCGCCTCTCGCTCCTGCCCATCCCGTCGGCGCGGATGTCGTTGTCGGTGATGGTGATCTCCGGTGTGACGTACCAGGAGCGGCCTGGGGGGCCGCGGCCACCATCGGCGTGTACCCTCTCAAGGATGGAGCTCTCCGAGAGGGACAGGGCGGCGTAGCGCTTGGGCGAGCTCGACAGGTTGATCACCACCGGCTGGCGGCGCTCCTCGGGGGATAAGGCACGGTGCTGCTCCCGGGCCAGCAGGTTCTCGTAGCTGCGCCCGCGCTGCAGGACCTCCTCCCTGTGCACCGCCGGCGCCAGGATGTTATCCCAAGACTTAGAGTAGTGCTGGGTCTCCCGGCCCAGCCGTGGGGGGGTTACTCCATAGCTAGCGTGCCAGGAGGAGACCATAGCCTCGTGCCCTGCTGGCTGCGGGGTGAAGCGTGACACTTGCAGGGTCTGGTAGGGCAGCGCAGCCCGCTTGGAGCCGTACCAGTCACTGAAGTGCAAAGGCTGCGTGCTGCGGGGCGGGGGGCACGTCCGCGACATCATCTCCCGCTCCCGGTACTTCCCGTAGTCCTCGGCATAGAAGACCCGAGCCGAGGAGCCGAGGGCTGGGTACGTCCGGGCGTCCTCAGCATAGAGAGTTTTGACCGGGGTGCCGCGAGGGGGGTAAAAGCGGGGCTCATCCCCGTAGAAGGCGCGGGCGGGCGCCTCCTGCACAGGGTAGCCCCGAGGCTCCTCCACATACAACGTCCGGGGTGGCACCGTGTGGACGGCGGCTTTGGCTGGGTCCTCGGTGTAGAAGTGCTGGGGAACAGCGTGGCGGCCGGGGTAGGGGTAGCTGGCGTAGCCGGAGCTGCGCAGAGGCATGGCGGGGCTGGGGCATCGCGCCGGCTCCTCCGCATAGAAGAACTTGGCGGGGACGCCGGGAGCAGAGAAAGTCATGCAGCCCCTGTCGGGGTATTCCCTGAACTCCCGCGAGGCCGGCACCGGCACTGTCTGGTACGCCAGTGCGCGGGGGTCTGCCTCGTAGTACTCCCCGGGGTAGGGCAGGAACGGCGGGTCCCCGCTGTAGGAGTCACTGGGGGTGGGCGTGCGGGACGCGGGTGCCTGCCGGCCTCCCGGCACCGCCAGGCTGCGGGCAGGAGCGCGGGGCCAGCGCGGCGGCTCCTGCCGGCCCTGCGCTGCCCGCAGGCTGCGAGCTGCGTGCACCAGCACCGCCTCGTCCGGCTTGATGTCCACCCGGCACTTGACGTGGGGGCTGGCCCCCGCCTTGCCGCCCGGCCCCTCCTCGAAGCAGTTGCTGCCCAGGCAGAGCGGGGAGATGCGGCTGACGCTGCTGCGCTGCGGCTGCAGCTTGATGGGGTGCACCTCGTTGGCCATGGCCCGCAGCGGAGCCTGGGTCTCACGGCGCGGTGAGGGCTCGGGCCGGGACGGCTCCCGTGCCACCCGCAGCACCTCGCGCCCGCGCCGGGCCGGCGGCGGCGAGGCCGAGACCGCGATGGGCACTGGGGTGAAGGTGGTCTTGACCCGCGGCGCGCTCTTGGAGCGGGCACGGCGCTTTGGCTCGCTTCTCGGTGCCGGGGCTCTGCAGGCGTAAGGGTCCGGCTTCGGGGGCGCCCGCCTGCCCGGTGGCCCTGGCGTGGGCTCGGGGGTGCCGGGGTGCGGGCACGGGTGCTCCATGGCCGCAGGGGTGCCCAGCTGCTCCTCCAGCGACTCGTCGAAGTCGAAGCTCCTGCAGTGGCGCTTGTTGAAGGGCTGCGGCTCGCGGGGCAGGGATGAGGACATGGAGGCATCACATTGTGCCAGGGGCTGGCAGACAATGGAATCCCTGGGGGCTGCGGTGGCCACCTTTATGTCTTGGTACACCGTAGACACGAGGATGTCAGGTGGGTCTGTTCGTGTCATCTTAAAAGCGACTATTCTCCCGCCAGCTCCCCTTCAGATGGCCTCAGAGGAAGGAAGCCGGCCCTGCAAGAGAACAGACGAGGTGCCTGAATCCCAGCGGGGACCTCGGAAGCCTTGACAGCACTGAATATATCCCCACAGCTCCTGGCTTGAAGGGGAGGTTTGGCCACATCCTCAGAAATGAGGGCTCGGGGACATCCCAGCCTCTGCTGCTGCTGTCAATAGTCAGATCCCAAATGGGGGAAAAAGATGGAAAAAGACTCCAATCCAATTTGCACCTCCATTTGGGGTGCAAATAACAGAGGGGATGGCAGAGCACCCATGAGTGCTCCGGGCACTGCAGGCAGCAGGGCGGTGTGCCAGCTCACTGCGGGAGAGGAGGCCACCAACTGCTGTGCCCTGTTAGTGGGGTGCAGGGCATGGGGACCCCTGTGCAGCATGACAGGAGATGGCAGCACCAGGGGTTTCCACAGCGGGTGGGAAGCACGTGGCTGACTCCCCACTGCCAATGCAGGCAGGAGCATCACTCCAGGATGGGTGCCATGAGCACCCACTGTGGTGGCTGTGAAGCTCTCAAGAGCTCTGGGGCTCCAGGGATGCAAGAGGCTGTGCCTACCATGGCCCACGAACACTCCTGTGCGGTGCCAACAGTCGTGGAATCCCAGCCTGGTTTGTGTTGGAAGGGACCTTAAAGCTCCTCCAGCTCCAACCCCTGCCACAGGCAGGGACCCCTTCCACTGGAGCAGCTTGCTCCAAGCCCCTGTGTCCAACCTGGCCTTGAGCACTGCCAGGGATGGGGCAGCCACAGCTTCTCTGGGCACCCTGTGCCAGCGCCTCAGCACCCTCACAGGGAAGAGCTTCTGCCTAAGAGCTCAGCTCAGTCTCCCCTCGGGCAGGTTCAAGCCATTCCCCTTGGCCTGTCCCTACAGGCCCTTGTCCAAAGCCCCTCTCCAGGTTTCTTGCAGCCCCTTTAGGCACTGGAGCTGCTCTAAGGCCTCCTCTTAAGGAGCTTTCTCCAGCTGCCCCAGCCCAGCTCTCTTAGCCTGGCTCTGTGCTCTCTTACAGCAGATGTCTTCAGTCCCACTGCTTGCAGCCGCATCACTCCCTGGGGCTCATCAGTTCTAGCAATGGGTGGTACCAGGGCTCGGTAGAGGGGTGCTGTGTCAGATACCCCAACCCCACGTGCCAGCAGCGACTCTTCCATTGCTCCCCACAGCTCTGAGCAGCACAGACCAGGGTCTCTCTGCAGTAACCCTGCTGTGAGGGGCTGCACTGGCTCTGCACCCACCAGCTTTGTCTTCTCTTGCATCCTGTGGCTGTGACGTGTCCAGGGCTGGAGAGGTGGGATGGCAGCTGCAGCTCCCGTGGGATGTGGGGTCTAGCACCCACCGAGCACCAGCACCATGCACCCACCTGCTCCTGGGCAATGCTGCCAGGGTGGGCAGGACCCCCACCACGTGTGACCCTGCTGTGTGACCACGGGGGACATGAGCACAAGCTCCCCCCAAGTGACTGGCACCAAATGGATGTGCCACCAGCTTTGCCCACAGCAGAGAGACGCGGCCAGCTCTAATGGTTATTACATCCTATGAGGGTTTGGCCAAGGTGGGCACCAACCGCTCCTCAAGGCACTAAAGGTGCACAGCAAAGGCCAGCAAAAGGTGTTTGGCTTTGAACAGCAGCAGAGGACCACAGAAAGATGTTTCTGGGAGAAAAGGAAGAGACTTTATTCGGTGAGCAGCAGTATGGACCATGCAGAGATGAGGGGCAGCTTGGGTTGCCCCTCACTACACGGCTAAAGCCCTGTCTCACCCCAAAGCAGGGCAGCAGATGCTGGAGCTGAGGTGAGGTCAGTGAGGTTGGGGTGTGTGTCCATGGGGTAGGCTGGGGAAATCTTGATGCCAGGAGGAGATGGGGATCCCAGTGCCTGTGAGGCTGGGAGGAAAGGTTTGTTCTCATAGTGGTGGTTCAGCATCAGCCTGGCTGCATTACAGTGCTTGAGAGCTGGGCTGGATCCAGGCAGGCAGCAGCCATGCTGATGGTGGCATTGGGAAGCCCATCCCCATGGTGTCAGGGTGGCTGGTGGCAGGGAACCACAACCCAGGGTCCTACCTGGTCTGGCGGCAGCAGGGAGGGGGAGCGTGGGTTGACCTGGCCGAGGGCTCTGCAGTGGTTCCATCCCAGCTCTGTAAAACCAAAGAGGAACATGAGGGTCCTAGGGCAGCCCGGGGGGGGTTGGGATATACAGGAGGGGCTGTGGAGCACCCAGAGACACCCCTGCAGCTGCAGCACTGCTGAGCCACACGGAGCTGCAGCCCCCGAGGCCACTGTGCACATCCCGTGGACATGGGTGGACATGTCCATCCACTGTGGACATGGGTGCTGCATCCCGTGGGCAGTGGCGCATCCCTGTCCCCCCCTTTCCCCGCACACCCTGTGCCCGCAGAGCCCGCAGGTTGCCATGGTTTCTCCCCATCATCCCTGCTCTGCGTGGGGAGTGTGGGTGCGGGGGGGGGGGGTGAGGGGAGTGTGGGTGCGTGGGTGCATGGAGAGTGTGGGTGTGAGGGGAGTGTGGGTGTGAGGGGAGTGTGTATGCATGGGGGGGTGGGTGCATATGGAGTGTGGGTGCATGGGGAGCTGTGGGGGGCTGGAGGGAGTTGGGGGGGACCCTGGGCTTTGTGGCACTGCAGTGGTGGCAAAGCACCCGAAGAAGCACCCCTTTTGTGGTGCCCCCCCCCCCTCCCAGTGCCACCTCTGCAGGGAGAGGGTTACACATCCTTCCCTGCTCTCACAGGCTCCAGCCCTGCTGCCCAGGGTCTCCATGCTGGGTCACCCTGGGGATGCTGACATGGGCTGGCAGCACTTTCCAAGCTCACAGAACACCCCTGAGGACCCCCCCTAGGGACACAGCACCCTGCCCGTGTCCCCACCACAGGCTGCTTCTCGCAGAGCCCCCCGTGGCCCTGCTGCTGGCCAGCACACACAAACACCTCTGCCCAGGGGGATGCCCACGGGGACCACCCCAGGGCTTGACCTGGCACCAGCACAGAGCCCGGGGACAGCAGAGCCCGGTGCCCCCCCCCCTCCATTCCCTGGCGCTGCTCCGGGCCGGGAGCCGGCGGGGCCTGCACGAGGCTGCACGGAACTGGGTCACTGCCGGCACGTGGCACGTGCGCCCTGTGCGGTGCCCTCCAGTGCTCCCAGTACTGCCCAGGCTCTGCAGCACCAACCTCCCGCTGCCTGCCCTGCGCCCATGCTGAGCGCTCTGCCTGCTGCCTGCCCTGCGCCAAGCACTCCGCCAGGGCACTGCTGCACTGCACTGACCACTGCCAGGGCACTGCTGCACTGCACTGACCACTGCCAGGGCACTGCTGCACTGCACTGACCACTGCCAGGGCACTGCTGCACTGCACTGACCACTGCCAGGGCACTGCTGCACTGCACTGACCACTGCCAGGGCACTGCTCTGTGCACGCTGCCCGTGCACTGCTCGGCATCCCCTGCCCGCACATCCCACTGAGCACATAGCAGAGCGCTGCCTGGGTGCACTGCAGCAGCTGCACTGCCAGCACACTACCTACACGTGCAGTGCACCAAGCACACTGCCACTGCACCAGCCTGCAGACAGCCCCAGCACACGCTGTGCTGCACTGCACCGAGCTCCCGGCCTGCCTGTGCCAGCAGCATGCCCTCAGCACACTGGTCCAAAACAGCACCAGGGCAGCATTGTATGTGCACTGTGAGCACCATGCTCCTGCAGACGATGCTAGGTGCACTGCCATGGGTGCTGTGCCATGGGCACTGCCAGCCCTGACCCCGCTGCACACAGGCTTGGGAGGGCACCGACAGTTGCTGCTCCCTGGGCCCTGCCCGCACCTGGCACTGCCCAGAGCCAGAGAACACCCGGCCCCCGGCCCCTGCCCGGTACATTGGCAAATAGAAGCTTCCCCCTCTGTGCCCCCACCAGGGCACCCCCCAACACACAGAGTGCTCTGTGCCCCTACAGCATTGCCCCAGCCGTGCATCTCATGGCCGCTTCACCCTTCCCTGTGCCCCTCCATCCTGAGCCCCCCACTGACTCCTGCACACACAGTGCACAGCCCCAGCACCACCAGCCCCAGCCCCCCCCCCCGGAGGGGCTCATCCTGCCGCGGGGAGCGGCACCCCCAGTGCAGGAGGATGCTCCCGGTGCTGGCACCAGGCGAGGGGGTGCAGCACCCCCAGGGCACAAGAGATGCCCCTACCCCAGCCAGCCCCCCCCGCCCCGGAGGACCTTGGCAACGGGAGCGGCCGGGGGGGGCAATGGGGATCCCCGCAGGGGGTCACAGTGCCCAGGCCGGGGGGGGGCCGGGGGGAGAGGGGCTGTCCCGGGCGCTGCCGCGAACCCCAGGGCGGTGGCCGCGGGATTCCCTCCTCCCCTGCTGCGCACCGGCACCGGGAGGCACCGGGCCCGCTGGGCCGCGCCGAGCGCTGCAGGGGCAGATGGCCTGGCCCGGGCACTGCGGCGGGATGGAGAAGAGGATGAGGATGGGGATGAGGATGGGGATGGGGAACACGGGGGTGGGGTGCGATGCGTTGGGTGACTCGGCTGGGGAGAGGGATGGGGATGGTCCCGAGAGACCCGAGGGATGGGGAGGGCACAGCGGGATGGGATGAGGACAGGGATGTGCGGCATGAACTGGGGGGGGGGGGAATCGGGGGAGCACGGGCGGCCGGGGGGATGCCCCCGGAGGGTCTCAGGAGGATGGGGCTGGGATGTGAAAAGGGGGGAGTGAGATGGGGACTCTAGGAGAGGGCATAGGGGGATGGGACGCGATGCGATGATCCGGAGGGGTCGGGGAGGGGGACTGGCCAGGGTCCCCAGGGAGTACGACAGGCCCCAGCCCCCTGTCCGGGCCCCCCCTTACCTGCTCCTCGCCCGCCGCCACAGCGGCCCCCCCGTCGCATCCTCTACACCACCACCGCGCTAGGCTCGGGCTGCCGCCGCCGCGGTGGCCATGGCCCGGCTCCGCCCGATCCCGCACGGCCCGGTCCGGTAGGGGTCGGCTCGGCTCGGCTCGGCTCGGCTCGGCTCGGCTCGGCTCGGCACGGCACGGCACGGCACGGCACGGCACGAGGCTCCGCCGCGGCCGCTCGGCTCCGCCGCCGCTTGTTTTCCCATAAATACGGCAGGCGGAGTTACCGGCCGGGGCCGGGACCGGGACCGGAGCCACCCACCGGCACCGCCCCCGGCCCCGGGCCCATTCATCGGGCCCAGCTCTGGCTCCGCCGCTCGGCAGCAGCCCCCATCCCCATACTCATCCTCATCCGCATCCCCATCCTCATCCCCATCCCCATCCCCATCCCATCCCCATCCCCATCCCCATCCCATCCCCATCCCATCCCATCCCATTGCATCCCCATCCCCATCCTCATTGTGCTGTGCCCTCGCAATCTGCTGCCCTCCCGCCGGCAGATCCCCGGTGCCGGCAGCCCCTGGGCCCGTCCCCGCCTGACCTTGGCCCATCGTGGCCAGTGAAATCCCCGATAAGCTCTTCTGTGGCGCGGCCTCATTTCCCGGAGGCGCCGGGGCTGCCACTGCCCGCGGCCGGGAGATGCTCAGGGATGAGCCGCAAGGCACCGAGGAGGACGGAGGCGGTGTCCGGCAGCTCCCGGCGCGCAGCGGCTCCAGCGCCCGAGCTCTGCCTCAGTTTCCCTATCTCCCTGGTGCAGCCGAGGGCCCCGGCACCGGCGGGTGCCCCGGGAAGGAGCCTCGGCACTGGGGACCTGCTCCGAGCCCAGTGCTGAGCTCTGCCCTCCCCGCCAGTCCCTGCGCGGCCGGTGCCTACCGGGATTTGCTTGAGTTCAAAACCCTCCATAGCCAAGACCCTTCCCCCCCGCGCTGTGGCTCCGGGAGCATCCTCCCGCGGTCCGCCCGCAGCGGAGCCGGGCGCTGCCGCACACTGGTGTTGCCATGGCTCCTGCAGGAATGCAGCCCGGGATGGGTGCGTTTGCCCCCCGCGTGTCCCGTGATCCGCAGCAGGGCAGCGGCCGAGCTCACTGCACAGATGAGGGGACACAGCTGCTGCGGGGGGGCGCAGGGTCGGGGGGAGCAGCCCCCCGGGGAGCTGTGGCCTCGCTCAGCCAGGCCCGGCTCCTCCCCCCCGCAGGACGCAGGGCTCCGGTGCTCCCCGCGGCTCCATCTGCTCCCACCGGCTGCCGGCCCCGCGCCGGGTGAGCTCCTGACGCGGTCACTGATGCCAGCCCAGAGCCCTGCCCGGGGGTGCCGGGGCTCAGCACCCCCCGCAGTGCCACCACACAGGGGATGCAGGAGCCCAGATCCTATGGGCATGCAATGGAGTCCCCGCATGGAGGATGCTGCTGCCACGTGCCTTCCCTGAGGACACCCCCTTTGGTGCCACCATCTGACCTTGCAGATGTGGCCCTGAGTTGCACCTGCATGGATTGCAGTCACCGACCCGGAGCTCCACGCTTTGGAATGGCCACAGGGCCTCGGACAAGGGGCTGAACCGTGTTCCCTAAGCCCTGTAGCAAGGGGTGGTGGAACCATCTGCTGCCCCCACTGGGAGGCCGCTATTTTAGGCTGGGAAGTGCTGAGGGATCCAACTGGACGTTGTCGTCTCGCCACCAGAGATGCTGCAGCCATGGCATGTGCTGCTGTCACTGGGGTTGTGGGTGCCTCCTCCTCCTCCTGGAGCCAGGGGCAGCCTGGAGGAAAGGAGATGCCACAGGAGGAGGATGGAGGTTGTGTGGGGCTCACTGGGAGTGGGCAAAGGGGGGCTCTGGGGGAAGTGGCTGCTGTGGCTGTGGCACCCCCGGGCACCCAGACTGGGGCACTCAGGAGGGGACAGCCCTCGGGTGCAGTGGGGGCTGTCCCCAGCCTCGTGCCTGCTGCTGCGGGAGGGATGGGGCTGTCCTACCCCTGTGCTGGGCCCTTGCCATGGCTGTGCAGGTCCAGGCTTGTCCCTGGCCGAGCTGCAGGGGAGGACACGGGCAGTCAGAGGCCACGGCTCCATCAGGGAAAAGAGCTGGGGAAGGAAGGGCTGGAGTGGGGGACACCCCGCCTTGTGTGGGGTTCTTGCCTGGTCGGTGCTGGCCCCCCAAGCCCAGCAGGGAGCAGAGCCCGACAGGCCCTCTGTCGCCGTGACTCAGTTTCCCCAGCAGCACCACGCTCCTGCTGTCTGCTGATCGTGGCCAGGAGAGGCCCCCCTGTGCTGCACTGGGGCTGAAGCTGTTCATGGGTCTCTGCCCGCTGGACAGTGCTGGGTCGGTCCATGCCTGGGGCTGTGAGTCACAGACTGAGCTCTGCCATGCCCTGGCCAAGGGGAAACTGAGGCACAGAGGAACACCGTGCCCACTGCTCACAGTGAGGATCACTGGGGATGGGTGATGATGCTGAGCGCTTGGGCAGCCCCAGAACACGGCAGATCTCAGCCCTGGGGGACATGGAGGCTCACATCTTCAGACACTGGGAGGCCTGGGGTAGAGCCCATCCAGGGGGCTGCGTGTGCCATGGACAGCACCAGGAACGTGCTGGGGATGCTGCACGTTGCCCCACTTCCTCCCCTGCTGCTGAGTTTACAGCAGGGATTAATGTTTGATCCCTTCCCTTTGCCCCCAGGTGCTGCTGTCCCAGGTGGGCAGCTCCTGGCTGGGGCCATGCTCCTGTTGCCCTGAGCTGGCTGTGTCAGGGGTCTCTCCCCTCCTCCCAGTTTCTCTCACCCTTCCCTGGCATCACCTCCCTTTCCCCAGCCCTGAAACGAAGGAGAACCAGGCCCTGCTGCCTGCCTCAGGGCTCTGGAGGGAGCTGGATCTTACCCACAGCTCCTGATGCCCTTGGCAGGAAGAGGGTGTGAAGTGTGTAAAGCACCTGCTGGCTTTAGTGTCCCTGCCTGTAAAGAGCTGTACACCCACATCCCCTCCTGCCTCCTTGGGAATGATGGGTCAGTCCCCAAAGGCAACGAGTCTTGAGCTTAAGCACATGGCATCCATCTCCTGCCCCACAGCAGTGCCAGAGGCAGACATCCTGTTAGGGGTGCCCTCCCCTCCCATGGTAGTGGTGGGAGGGATCTGGTGCTGCCCTGTGTGATGCAGCCCTGGTGTGTGATGGAGCTGCACCCGGGGAGCACCACTGGGCAGCCTCCCAAGTGATGCCACTCGCCAGCAGCACCGTACCCTGGAGCCACCGGCACCCACAGTGATGCACGAACCAACCTCCTCATGCTGGGCCATGACTGCAGCACGGGTAGAGCTTGAGGCCACCACTGTGCATCCCTGCTCGGAGCCGCTGCCTGCCAATGGCACAAGGAGGGTTTCTCCTCCCAGCTCCGGGAAAAGCCTCTTCCCAGCCTGCTTGGGGACCTCAGGACAAGCAGAGCTCCCCCAGGCCAAGACTCGCTGTCCCAGAGCAGTCAATGGCTGGCATTGCAGGACACAGCATCCTCCTCGCCTCATCTCAGCTCTGCAGTGACCGACAGCCACACCACTGCTTCCCTCCTTGCTGCCACCCATTTGGAGATCACTGGTTTTAGTGGTTCCCAAGTGCACACAGGGAACCTCCAGCTCTAACCCATCATTGTGCTCTGGGCTCCCAAAGGCTGCTCCATGCCCAAAGCTGCAGCTTGAGCCAACGACACCCCATCTCACCCGACCAAGGTCTGCCCAAGCCTGCGGGACCCGCTGGCTACAGCCACTGCCTGATGGTGCCAGGGGATCGTTTCCCTCTGCTCAGCAACTCCCCTGTGGCATGGATGAAGGCTGGATGCTCCCTGTGAGCTGTCCTAGGGCCAGGGACACGTGTGACACCCCTGAGGCACTGCAGGCTTGTTTTGGAGGCAAACCCACAAGTCAAGGAGGCTCAAGCCCTGCTATCGTTAAGCAGCAGACTGAGCCACCACTGGATTAATTGTATTATGCCATGATTGAGGCTGTTGCTTGGTTACAGCAGCCGGTCCCTGAGCCCATCCTACTGCGGGAATTCCCCAGCATCACTTGTTTCAATCTCCGGGGCATCCCAGAAGGACACCATGTGCTAACGGCCTCTCCATGCAGCAGGAAGGGGAAGCTGCAGGCAGCTGCAGGCAGAAGAGCCATCAGCCCCCTTGCCCCAGCCACCCCTGCCTGCTCACTGCCCTCCCCTCAGCTCGGCCTGCCCCAGCTTTGCCTCTGCCGTGTATTTGTCCAAGAGCACTCAAGGTTCCCAGTCCTGCGGTCGTTCTGTGTCCTGCTAAACGCTGGGCTGCACCCCAGTGCAGATCAGAGCATCCCTCTGCTCCGGAGGGTGCCTTCCCTCACGTCTTGGTGCAGCAGCTGCAGCAAGTCACACACCGAGTTGCCAAGAGACAGGAGCTGCTCAGTGTGACGCTGGATCCCAGCGCAGGGAACCCTCCCTGCTCAAACACTGCGCGCACAGCTCCAGCGCTGTCTCCAGTTAGCAGCACAGCCTCTGCTTTTCCCACTGGGACGCTACACACGGTGTCCCCAAAGCAGACGGGTCCCTTCTCCTCCCCGATGGCTGCCAGCCCAGCCCGATGCCTGAGCGCATGGAGGCTGCTCCCCCTGCAGCAATTCCCGAGCAATCCCAGCTGCGAGGACATGGGGCCGTCGGAGGGACCTCAATGACTGCTCATGACCGCTCCACCTTCAAGCTGGCACGGTGGAAGCCAGGATGCAACCGCACCGTGGCTGAGGGGCCCGTGGGTCTGGTGTGGAGGCAGAAGAGCAGCAGCCTCAAGGATGGGGCTCTATAAACCTGCCCTTCTCCCTCCTGCTGCTCTAAACCAAGCACAACCTGGTCCAACATCAGCTCTGGGTTCACGAGAACCCGCAGCTCCTCAGCCCTCGAATTCTTTCCTTTGGATGACTGATAAACCCCAAAGCTTCCACACTGGTACCTCTAGAGATGCTCACAGGAACTATTTATATCCATGTGATCCTGCAGAAGCTTCCCTGTAACAACAGGCACACACATGCTTTTTATATTTAGCTTATTCAAAGACTGCGCATGGGAGAGCCGAGCTCAGTCTCTTTCCCCCCTCACTTGTGCTTGCTGGCGTGGGATTACACCTCATGCTGCAGTCCCAGTTGCGTTCAGCGTTCCTGAAAAAGGGAGAAATCCAAGCCTAAAATGCACCTTTTTTCCTGCTATTCCCTTGCATGCTCCTGCTTCACTTCCAGGGTGGGATTGCTCTGGCCTTACTGCTGAAGCCAGAACATGGCACGCACCCTCCTGGGGCTCCAGTGCAAGTGAAGAGAGCTCCTG